AAGCGGTGACACACTCACACACACACACACACACACACACACACACACTCAGCTGACACCCGTGCCCCGTGCCCACAGGGGACAGCTAAGTGGCCTCTCCCGGCCGGACCTCTTGCTGAGGGCCTCGGGAGGTGGGTGGAGAAGTAACAGGGCAGACACTTCTTCCCCAGGGGCTGGGCTCCTGGGGCCTGCCAGCCTGGTCCTGGAACAGGTCAGTCACCGAGAAAGGGCCCTCCGGGGGCGGCCCCCCCGGCAGCCCTGCCCTGAAGCGCACACGCGGCCTCTGCCTTTCAACAGTCTCTGACACAACTAACGCCCCATAGTCGCCTGTCAAAGCCCATTAAAACCCTGACTCGCTGGACTCGCACATCGAGGCCAGAGGCCCCCAAATCCGCGGCGGTTGGGCTGCTGACCGGCGGCGCCCCGCCAGAGCGGCGTTCTGCGGGCACGACCTGCGCAGGCTCTACCGGGGAAGCAGGGGCCGCCCTGAAACAAGGCTCTGGACCCCAAACTAACTGCAGGACAGAACCTCTGGGCTGACGGGAGCAGGCAGGGCCCTAGCAGCCCTCATGGAGACCAAATCTGTGCCGACACCCCCAAAGCGGGCCAGGGGAGCGTCTGAACCCCCCTTCACCCTGGGCTGTCAGAAGCCCGTCGGACGCCAGGAGCCTGTGCCCCAGCGACCAGTCAGCTGCCCTCCGGGGCTCCGCCCAGACACCACCCCGCCCGGCTTCTCGGGAGTGGCTCAACCTGGCAGGGCCAGCCTGCAGCTCGCAGGCCCTAGGAGGCACCGGCGCGTGGGCCGGCGGGTCCTTGCTGGCGGGCTCAGAACTGACGGGGGGAGCCGAGTGCGGCACCCACTGCAGCAGCGGCCCGGGCCTGGCTGGCGCCAGAGGGCCAAGTCTCATTTCTGAGTGTGCCTGGGAAGTCTCTGAGGAGAAACGTTAACCTCTAAAACCTCCTCGTTTCCACGGCCGTTGGGAGTTCTGGGTAAAGGCGCTAACAAGCTGCCTCCCTGCTGTCAGGGGCCACCTGCAAGGAGTGCTGTTCTAACAGTCCGAGGTGGGGGAGTGAGGCCACAGCGGGCCTTCACGTCTGCGGACGGCAGCCGCTGCACGGGCGAGGGCTCCCCGCCCCGCGGGGACTCACCGTGACCGGCTTGGTGCGCTCCCAGTCCGTCAGCAGGTCTGTGGTGCGGCTCTCCACGGCCCGGTCCTCCTGGACAATCTTCATTTGCAGGTTTGCCACCTGCTGCTGGATGGCAGAGTCCTTCCTCCGCATGATGTCATTGAAGGCCCCCCACTCCCCCTCGATGTTGTCGATGTAGAGCCAAGACGGGGGGAACTGGAACCTCTGCTTTTCCAGCAGACGCTGGCCGTTGCGGTAGAGCTGAGGGTGGGAGCAAACAGGGCCTTTGTCCTCTGCGTGGTCACTAGTACCCCGGCCAGACCCCACAAGCCGGGCCACAGCACGTGGGAGCAGAGCGCGTGCTCCTCGGCAGACCCCTCGCCCGCTGACCGTCCTGGGTGGGCACCGCGGCCCCCACAGCCCGCCAGAGCGCCAAGCCTCGTGTGCTCGAGAGTCACCTGCAGAGTGCTGCGGCGCGCAGACTCCAGGGCCAGCCCCGCGCCGCACACGCACCCCGGGAGGTGCCGAGGACAGCGGCAGGCAGACAGCCCTCGGGATAGGGGCCCCCGGGGAGAAGGCGGTGCCCTGGGGGGTCCCCCGGGAGGGCCGGCACACCGGCCGCCTCACCTCCACTTGTTTCTCAAACTGCTTGATCTTGCGTTTGAGAGACTGCACGTAGGTGATGAAGGTCACGGCGTCGGACGTGCTGGCCGTGTCCACGGAGTGCTGCTCCAGCTCTTGGCGAGACTGCGGGGCGGGGCGGGGCGTCACTCAGAGCCCCCTTGGAGGGAGGGAGGCCCCCGCCCGGGGTCCCTGCGCCTCACCTTGGAGATCTGGGAGTGGAAGTCCGTCATGTTTGAGCCGAGCATCTGCCCAAACTTGCTGAGGACCTCCTTGTGCCAGGAGTCGTACTTCAGGTTCACCTTGGACTGGACCTGCGGGGCGTGAGCACCGACCGGTCACCGGCTGCGCGGCGAGGTGCCCGCTGCAGGCACGGCCGCCGGAAGCCGCCGCCCCGCGCTCACCTTGCCGTAGTCGATGACCACGGGCCCGAACTCCTTCCTGGTTTCCGCGTTGTCGAAGGTGCCCCTGGCCTTCCGTATCTGCACCAGCAGTGCCTGCCACTTGTTGAGGTCCTCCCCCAGCCTGTTGTAGATGTTCTCGGCCTGCATGTCCCACAGGCACTGGTACTGCAGCCAGACCTGGGGCAGAGGGCGGCGTCAGGCGCGCGTTGGGAGGCCAGTGCCTGCGCGCACGGGCGGCGCTCCCCGGAAAAGCGCCCGCTTCAAGTGCTCAAGGCTTACTTCCTGTCAAGACCGATCTTCCTACAGAACTTGCCGTTCGCCAAAGGAACGGGATCCCCGAGGCTTTTTAAAATAAAGCGTCCACTGAAGCAAACGGGTGGCCACGCCTCTTTCCGCCCCCCGCCCGCTCCCACGCCGGCGGAGTGGGGGGCGCTACCTTGACATACTGCTCCACCTCGGTCACGATGCCCATGACCGCAGAGTAGGACTCCTCCAGGGCCACGGGGCCGTCGGGCATCCGCGTTAGGGCGTTCCGGTAGAACTTCTCCTCCTCGGTCAGCTCGTAGTGGACACCCACCTGCCAGCAGAGCGGAAGTGAAGGCGGGAAGTGTGCACCTTCCACTTCACCAAACAGGCTGGGAGACCGGCTCACAGCAGAAGTGGCGCTCACAGGCTGGGCCCAGCCCCGGGCTCTGCCGTGAGAGCGCGCAGGGCGAGGCTGGCCGGAGACGGGCTTCGCCGTGGGTGTGCCTGTGGCGTGCCGGGCACTCCACACCCCTGCTCACAGACACAGCTAGGGCCACAGCGAGCCGCGCAGGACGCAAACGCTGAGCGCACTACGGAGAAAGCCAAGAAGACAGCGGCAGAGCAGCTGTGTTTTGTAGAGAGGGCAGGGGCCTCCCTGGTGGCCCACGGGATACAGCAGCACTGGGAGCCGCCCAGTCCCTGCAGCACGAGTGCAGCCCCCGGCCAGGGAGTGACCACAGGGCGCCGCAGCCTTTCCCGTCTCCCCTTGGTCGTTTCAGTGGCTCCACCTGTTCTGCTCCCCACTGCCTCTGGTGACGCCCTTCATCATCCCTGCACTCTGACGTGTACCCCGGTTCTTGTATACAGAAATAAATAAACCTTAAAAAGTATAGGGAGGTCAGGAAGCCCTCCGTGAGGGCAGAGGGCAGGACAGAGCCCTGGGCCTGGAGGTCAGCGGGAGCCGAGGCCCAGGCCCAGACTGTGCCTGCAGGCGAGAGGACAACCCCAGTGTGGCGGAGTGGCCCGCCGAGAGGAGCAGGCCCTCCACGGGCAGCTCTCGGCGAGCGCCCAGGAAGCCAGCAAAGTCGCAGGAGTTTCCTTTACCTAGCCCAGTGTTGCGAGGTGGGGACAGGCTACAAAGAACCAAGACTGGCTGCAGGCGATGAGCTGGGCGGTGAGCCGAGCCCGCTTCATGTCGGCCCGCAATTTCCACAGTACGCGGTGGTGGGAGCAACTGCACAAGTGGCAGGTCCCGGGGACCCGCGGACACCACGTGAGCACCGACGCAGTCGTGGCAAGCCACGAGTCCAGGCCACGCCAGGCTGCCTGCCCCGGCCCTCAGGACACTGAGCCCGAAGCCTGGAAGCCACACGAGGAGCTCTGTGTGCAAAGGGCAGTTCTGAGATGCAGTGTCAGAAAGCAACGTGACCCGTGTGACAAAGCTGTGTGGGGTACAGAAGCAGCAAGGGGGTGCGGGTGCCCCCCGTCCGGGGAGGCTCACCTGGTACCTCTGACTCTGGATCCTGGGAAGGGACAGCACAATCATCTTCCAAGCAAACATTTCCTGATAGAGCTTGTACCTGCACTCCTCAATGGGCGGGTTCAGGTAGATGACCTGGTTGGTTATTCTCAGCTCGTGCACAACATTCTGTGAATGAAAGATGGCACGTCAACGACCGGCCCTAGCACGCGGTCTCGGTGCGGGCCTTCTGGGGGCACCGGGGCAGCCTCGGCACTATCAGCCGTCGCCAGCCACTGCGGCCAGGGAGTGCCCATGGGGTGCCGCAGACCTCTCTGTCCCCTGCTGCTCCCCTCAGCGGTGGGCTTCAGTGGACCCGCCTATTTTGCTCCCCGCTCTGTCTCTGGGGAGTCCTCTCATCCCTGCACCTCCGGCCTACACCCCAGTTCTTGTGTGCGTAAATGAATCTTTAATGAAAAAATAAACTGTCTTATAAAAAAAATAAACTGCACCCGCAGGGATTACAATCGAGATGGAAAAAAAAATGTGCAAAATGATGTAAAAATAAACTTTTGTAATAAATAATAAATAAATAAACATGTTAAAAAAAATAAAAAAATAAACTGCAAGCCCTGTCGCGGGCATCAGAGGCGGCCTCCCACGGCTTCCTGGGTCGCCTGCCCCCATTCGCTCAGAGGGCAGCTGCCGAGCACACATCAGGCGCGGGAGCACCGTGGGGCTGGCGCACGACGGCCTCTCTCCACAGTGACCCTGAGGCCCGAGGCGCCGAGGGCAGGCGGGGCTGGCGCGAGCTGCCCTCTGACAGGCTGGCCGGCGGCCAGCTGCACCCCGCGAGCCTCACGGATGTGCTCCATCAACGGGCCGCGCCCACGCGCCGCTCTGCAGCTCAGGGCGTTGACAAGCCGGCCTTGGGGATGCAGGTGCGTGTGTCCGCGGCCCGTCCCCCCGGGAGGGCAGAGCCGCGGGCACAGAGGGCCCATGCCGCCGCCGGGCTGCCACTGAGTCCTCTTGAGGGCGAGTGACACTGACACCGTGACCGCTCGTAGCGAGTGGCTCGGGGGCACCGGGGAGGGACTGCATGTGGTCACACTGCCCCACGCGCACTCTGAGCGACAGGTCTGCTAGGCTCCCACCGGCCTTCCCTCCCTCCGCGGGCACACGACAGGCGCGCGGCGGCGTGGCAGTGCCCACATGAGAGTGCTGCCCGCCCCGCACGTGCCGTGAGACTCCTGCTGGGGTGGAGCCACAGGGGCACTGGTGTCACGGCCCGACTTCTGCCTGTGGGTTACATGCAGTTCTCAAACAACGACTGCTTGTGCGCGTCTGAGAAGCGTTTTCTTTTCCCACTACAGATTTTCCCCTAAGACGTATTTTTCATTAAAAAATACTTTGTTTGCAAGGAGGTAAAAGACCTCTACAAAGAAAATTACAAAACACTGTTAAAAGAAATACA